GGGAGGCCACAAGTGCAGACAAAGATGCTGTAAGACATTCACCTCTATGTTAAAACAATGGATTAATTAAGAAGGCTCCCCCAGGATTGGATCTTTAACTGTGATTAAAATGGTCTCTATCACAATTGAATGTACCCAGATTCTACCTCTCAAGCAAGGAGGCACAGGCCCCCAGGTTTAAGGCTGCAAAGAATGGACTGACCATTAGGTAGGGTGAAAATGCAGGCATTTTCATTAGGATTGGGATCCCTTGTTGAGTTTATAGGGCATTGAGTACAAAGTTCTGTACATTTTTAATGGTCTTCCCCAATCCTGTTTTTCCTTAAGTCTGTTATGTTTACTGTGCAGTTTTGCAGAAGGAAACGTTTTCAGGATGCATAAATGTTACCGTAGTAGAAGTGCCTGCACACACATAACTACGCCTTGGAACAGGAGACGAGTGCTATAAAAAAGGGTCAAGGGTCCTGAAGTTCAGGGACATGGATAGATTTTTTTTTTCCTGTTCAATAATATCTCTAAGAAAGTCATGAATGTCACTTTAGAGTTCACAGGTGGTTTGATATTTTGTGTCACATTTGATCCCCCAACAACTCCTGAGGCAGATGATGCAGGTAAGGTACTTTGCAGATGAGGAAACTGGAACTCCATCAGCTCTCCCCGGTATTGCACTGGGCTATTTCAAGGGGGAGAAAGTGCTTCCCCTGGAGGAACTTACAGGCAAACCAGGCATTTTCCTTCTCCACTGCAGAATGTGTTTCTAGCACACAATACTTTCATTGGCTGAGATTAAGCCCTGATTATGTATAAACAGAATTGAGAATGAATCGGAATCTCTCTTTCCCATTGCAAGTAGGTGTCTTGTTTTCATTTCTGGAATTCTCTTTAACAGGAGAAAGCAAAGCATCACCTGGTTCTTTGCAGCAGTGCTTGTTGCTACCAGTTAGCCCATCTCCACTCCCAACCTCCCTCCACCCAGGTTCAGTGGACAACTTTGGAAAGGTAGAGATGGGCAGGATGGCTTTCTATGTAGAGGGGAAAGGCTCAGAAAAGGGGCACCCAGGAGAGACATAGAGATTGTACCACCAGCAGCAAAAAATCCAGTGTTGCTAGAGAAGTGGTACTGGGGTGGTGGGAAAAGGGGTGGGGAGGTGGAGGAGTTGGCAAAAAGACTCGATAGATAATCCAGGACCGTGATATAGCGGGCCTTGAATGCCAGACTGAGAGCTTTCCCTTTAAAGGGTCTAATCCTAGGAGGCACCTGCACCCGAGAGAGAAGTTAAATCTGATGTGGTTCTTTAAATGCCATGCACTGAGGGTGATGTCTTAGAATCAGGACAGTCCACATCTTCTCAGACTCTCTGTGGGTCTGGGAGGACACCTGACCCTCCTTCCCCTATTTTCTGCAACTTTTTTCTTCTCAGAATCTCACTCTTTCTATTTGTCAGCTGAACCACATTCTGCTTCCTTCTTTCCCTCCTCTTCTTTTTCTTAACCACTTTCTGCTCTTCGGATAAGACAGATGCTCTCTATTAAAGGCTCTTGGAACAGATGAGTTTCTACCTGCTTTTCATTTGCACGGTCCACTTCTAGTTCTGAAAAATAATTCATCAAAAGCTGCCTCATGCGGCTCTGGGTTGAGGTGGCATTCTGAGATCCCTTAAAGTGATAATATAAATTTACTTTTCAAAGAAAAAGGAATAAACTCAGAAGTATGAAAGCTGAAAATGGATATTACAATAAATTTCTAAAAAATGGAAAGAGGACGGAAGTGAGTTGACAGATCAAGCAGAGCAGAGGGGGACTGTGGGCCAGAATACACTCAGAAAGGGCTTCTGAGGAAGAGGGGCCAGCAGGAAGCCGTCCCACCAAGCAGGACCCTGGAGAAGCTCTGGGCGTGGAGTTGGCAGTTAATGAAGGCGGGATTGAGAAGGAGAACTGAAAATAACTGGAGGGGGCCCCATTAAGTCTGTTTACCCTATAATTTCACCACTTGGCTCCCTACGCTCTTTTCCCAGTACCTCCTCCCAGTCCCCAATTCCTGAATAATGCAAACCATGTGCAGCCAGGCATTTAACCTGAAGCCAAAAAGGAAAATGTCTTTAAAGAAATTCGATAAACTCTTTCAGGAAAACTAGAACCACTCTTGGAGTATTGGGGCCCCGGTTTGAAGCCGTTCCATTCTGTTTGGGGTCCCTCAATCTGAAGACCAGCTACCTGCTGCACTCACCCACAGTGAAAGGACAGTGACAAAGGCAAGTTCTGACAGTGTCCACAGAGCTTCCACTCAGTCCCCCTTCCCTGGAGAGAGACCCGCATAACCAGCAGCAGAGAATACCCATCCCAGCCTCCTAGAGGACACCACGCAGCTCTTTGTTTAAATTTGAGGCTGACCAGATATTGGGGAAAACCAACAAATCGAGAGATAGAGACATACCAACAGACACACTCTGTGACATACCAACGCACAACAATTGGCCCCAGTGGAAACAGGAAAGAGAACATTTAAAATGTTCTAATTAGTATCCTTGAAAAAAGTAAAATTATATCCATAAAACAAGAGTTAAATTTATTCCACAACAATTGGCCCCAGTGGAAACAGGAAAGAGAACATTTAAAACGTTCTAATTAGTATCCTTGAAAAAAGTAAAATTATATCCATAAAACAAGAGTTAAATTTATTTTTAAAAAAGAATTATTGGAAAATTGTAAACACCTCTTTGAAATGTAAGATTGCATCATTGATGACACAAAATTCAGTGAGTGGATTGGAAGATAAAGTCAAAGGAATTTCCCAGGATGAAACTATACAGATGTATATTTATGTACGTATGTGTAGGTAATGATACACACACACACACACACAAAGAGACAAAGTGTGAGAGGCAAGATGATATATAGAGGATCAATCTAAATTATCCAGTAGATATTGGATAACATGTTACCAATAGAAATTCTAGAAAGAGAACAGAGAAAACTTAATAGAGCTGGAAAGTCATGTTTCCAGATTGGAAGGACTCGGTCCTGAATAGAGTCAATTTAAATAGATTTATGCAAAGACACATCATACTCGAATTTCAGAAGTCCAGTGTCAAGAGAAAAGAGTAAAAATACCCTGGTTGAGAGATGGAGTGAGTACAAGTGACCCAGGAGAGGAAAGAAAATCAGGATGACCTCAGAATCTCTCAATGATATTGAATGCTAGAGGACAGGGAATTCATTCCTTCAAAGTTCTGAAGGGAAGCGATTTCAAGACTAGAATTCTATACAAATTATCATTTAAGATATCTACAAAGACTCATAGATTTTCCTTCTTATGCACCCATTTTGAATAAGTTACTTGAGGACATACTAGAGCAAAACAAGAATGAAAAACAAGCAAAATGTCATGGGATTTAAAAAATCAAGAATCAAGAAAAGAAATCCCGGAATGAGAGTTATCAGCAGGCCTAGAACACGATCAATTCAAATTAGGGCCAGAAGTCAGTGGTCTCCAAGAAAAGAAGACCTCAAGAAGAGTGAACGTATTGAAAGCAAGAACGGACTAGCTTTATTTAACTTCTTAGTCATGGGTACTTGTGATGGTGAATTTCCTGTGTCCATTTGCCTGGGTCACAAGGCATTCAGATATTTGGTCAAACATTATTTTGGGTGTGTCTGGGAAGGTGGTACATAATTTCAGTGAGGCAAGATGAATAAATTCTAGAAATCCATTGTATAGCATAGTGATATAATTAATAGTAATGCCATGTGTATTCTTGGAAATTGTTAAGAGAGTCGATCTTAAATGCACTCACCATAAAAAAAAAAAGTATGAGAAGTGATGGATATGTTAATTACTTTCATTTTATCATCTCACAATGTATACGTATATCAAGACATCACCACCATAAATACATACAATTCTTACTCGTCAATTATACTTTAATAAAGCTGGGGAAGAAAAGGAATGAAGTACTGAAACACGCTACAACACGGATGAGCCTTGAAAACATTATACTAAGTCAAAGAAGCCATTCGCAAAAGACCTCATATTATATGATTCTATTTACATGAAAGGTCCAGAATAGACAAATCTATAGAGGTAGAAGGTAGATGAGGGGCTGGGGTTGAGGTGAGGGGATGGGAAATGACTACTGATGGGCATGAGTTTCTTTTTGGGGTGATGAGAATGTTCTAAAGTTGGATAGTGGTGATGATTGTGCTAAAAAGCATTGAACTGTACATTTTAAAAGGGTACAATTAAACTGTACATTTTAATTTTGTGGTACATGAATTATATCTCAATAAAGCTATTGAAGCAAACAAAAAATTTTAGTAGAACTAGAAGGAGATCTAAGTCTTCCCGGTAACAGAGTGTGGCACCACTCTTTAATCAGTCACTCATGAAAAGAGAAAATGTCAGGATACAATACAGTCTCCATTCAGGAGCCGGAGCCCCATCACCTCCTCCTGCTCTTCCTCTTTCCTCCACTTTTGTTTATTCTTCTTTTTCTTTGTTTTAAATGCAGTGTCCTCAGATCCTCCAAATGCTTCCTATTATACTTAGAATAAAATTCCAGCTACCAATTCCTGCCTGTCTGCTTACCTCCCTTATCTCATCTTGTACCACTCTCTCATTTTCTTTTTTCTTTTTTCTTTTTTTCCTGTCCTTTCAGCCCTCCAAGCTTGACACTGAACTTAAGGCTTTTGCATTTGCTGTCACTCTACCTGGAATGCTTTCTCCGCCTGTTGTCACATGGCTGACTCTTTTCTATTCATGTCTTAGATTAAGCATCACCTCCTTGGAGACCCTTCCGACCCTCTCCTCATTCCTATCTGGGAGGATCCTGCAATAAGTCCCTGAAGGAAGAGAGCAAGAGCCCTGAATCATAGGAACAGCAATGCCTTGAGACAGAGAAGAAAAGCACTCACACTATAGAAAACAAAATGCAAATTAACGTCTCAATAAATTATCCTGCCCCAACCAAATCTGATCATCATGCCCCAAAACAGCCATGGACCTGCCGCTTTCACGTCGCACTTAGCACTACCCCTTCCCACTTGGTTCCCTGGCTGTGCAAATCTAGAGTTCTTTTTAACACTGTATCACTCATTTCAAAAACATAAGTCACTGTCATTTTTTTTAAAGTGCAGAATAAATAAGTAAAACATGTGGGGAAAACTTCTCCCTGTCCCACCACCCTGTCAACATTTAGGTGCATTTTCTCTTTAGTTCGCTTTTCCTCTGCCAAGGGTCTTATGGTGGAAAATATGAGGAAGACTGGTCTACAATACAGTTCAATGTTTCTGCTCATGATATGCAAGACCTTTCATGATCAGACCCATCCAACCTCTTCAGCCATTCTTCATACTTTCAGCAAATATGTGTTCAGCATTTGGTACGTGCCAGATTCTCTGCTAGACACTGGGAAGAGAGAGATGAGAAGCCAGTTCTGCCTGCCTTCAAGGAGTTGATAATCAAACTGGGAGACAGAAAAGTAACGCTTGCAGTGTTGTTAAGTACTGTTAAGTACTAGGTTGTAGGCTGTAAGTAGGAGATACCTATCCCAGACTGAAGGCTTCTTGAGGAATGTGCAGGGGTTAGCCAGAGGAAGGCAGGAGAAGGGGTAACTTCTGCACACAGGCCACAGTGAGTTCAAAAGCATAGCTGCAGGAAAGGACATTGCTGAAGAGCTCCAAGTAGTTGTCGTCCTGGGATGTGCTTGTTTGGGGATGAGAAATAAGATTAGAGGACAGGTTGGGCCAGACTGCAAAAGGGCCTTCTAAGCCAGTCTCAGGATTTGGGATGTCATCTCCAGAGCTATGGAGAACCACAGAAAGGACAGAGGGATGGCAGTGACATGATCAGATTTTCATTCCAGTGAGCATTCTCCTTCAGCAGTGTGGAAAGCTGAGCCGGGAGGCAATCCAGACCAACAGTGTTGAGACCTTCCATGCCACCGTTGTCCCCCGGGGATTCTGACTCTAAACTCACCAACCCATTTGGCCAGTCACACCATGCTCTGTCACACTGCAAGCCTCTGCTTCCTGTGCATCCTCTGACACACGCCTATTCACCTCTGGAGCCCCTGTTCAAATGTCTCCTCCTGTGTGAACCTTTCTTTTCCCATCAGCTGTACAAAAGCAACTGTTCCCTCCTCTCTATTCCCATAGCGCTTTGTAAATACCTCTATCAAAGCATTCATCACCTTACATTATAATAATCTGTCAACATCACTTTCTTCTCCATCAGACTATGAGATCATGGAGGGCAGGAGAGTCACCTCTGAGTCTGCCTCTCTTGGAACACTCTCTAGCACTTAGTTGGTGACTGATAATTATATGACTGAATGATGAATAAGTGAATAAATGAGTCATGTTGCCTTTGTACTTCAGACCCCATCACACCCTGGGTGAATAAACCTTCCTCTTGACCTCAGGTCTCACTTTAGACACCAGCCTGGCTCACGGAAAAGCAGCTGGGATGCAGGTGAGTGACAAGTTGGTCCCTCTGGCTGAATGTCCTATGTCCCCAGGTGATCCAGTTGGAGGAGCTGCTGGCAGTAAGGCACTCTGTGTTCGTGGTGGGCGGTGCTGGAACAGGCAAGTCCCAGGTGCTGAGGTCCTTGCACAAGACCTATCAGATCATGAAACGCCGCCCCGTCTGGACTGACCTCAATCCCAAAGCAGTCACAAATGATGAACTCTTTGGCATCATCAATCCAGCCACACGAGAATGGAAGGATGGTAAGAGTGGGATACCCCTGGGAGAAAGTTCCTGCTGTCCTCGGAGTTCCTCAGGCAGGCTCGGATGTAGTGGGAATGAACTGCAGAGGAGAGGACATTGGATTGATCTGTTTGGGACCAACTGAAGAAGGAGATCAAAAGACTAGTGGAAAGGAAGAAACCCATCTGGGCTTGGTAGGGAGTGGGAATGAACTGCAGAGGAGAGGACATTGGATTGATCTGTTTGGGACGAACTGAAGAAGGAGATCAAAAGACTAGTGGAAAGGAAGAAACCCATCTGGGCTTGGTAGGGAACCTCAGCCTTTCAGATCTTCTCCCTCCTTGGAGACTTCTTCCAGCTGCCTTTTAGAGAGGTGACTTAAAGAGGATAAAGCAGGGCAGGCATTCAGCAGGAGATTCCTCATTCTGGAGCACAGCCATGGTGTAGAGTCGCTGTACTGCCTGGCAGTGGATTTCAGGCACGTGTCGGATAGGGAATCCTACGGCTCATTTTCAAGAAAGTGGTACAGTCCAGCATCCAACAGGGGACACTGCTGTCCCTGTGAGCATTGCCCCAGCAGTGACAGGGAAGCTTCATGCTAAGAACACTGCACCAGGCCCCTGGTGATGCTGAAGATGTCCATTCAACCCCAGAAGGGTTTCTGGTACCATATTCCCCTCTGCAGTGATTCAGAGGACCCCAATCCCATGTGCTGATCTTGGTGTCAGCTTCAAAGAACTAAATACCACTGACAGATGTTGAAAGGGGTCATCTGTAACTAGAAGAGTAAATTCTGTGAGCTGATAGAAATCCCTTTCTAAAACCTATGTGGCCTCTGGAATGAGGAAGTCTCAGCTCCTCCCTGTTTCAATGTCTGACCACATCAGGCTCAAACTCTGGATATCTGTAGTCAGAGGCTAGAACAAGCAGCATCTCTAATTTTTATTTTGCTATTAGTGAGTCTTAACGTCTTTCCTTCTCACTGGTTTTGGTAATTTGCTCTTTCGTCATTTATTGCCCTTGTTATTTTTGTCAGTTTATGAGTTCTTTATATCTCACAGATATTAACCCTTTATCTGTTATATGCATGGCTAATTCCTCCCTCTACCACTCCCTCACTGGTTTTGGTAATTTGCTCTTTCGTCATTTATTGCCCTTGTTATTTTTGTCAGTTTATGAGTTCTTTATAGCTCACAGATATTAACCCTTTATCTGTTATATGCATGGCTAATTCCTCCCTCTACCACTCCCTCATCTGTCATTTGTCTATAGACATTTCATGACATATTTAACCATGCACTTTTTAAAAAAGAAAATTGTGTCCACCTAGTTTTTTAAGCATCTGGTATTCCTATTTAGTTTATAACTCTTTCTAACTTTAAGCACAGGTATAATATCATAATTTTTTTCAAAAAAGATTCTTTTTACATTAATGTTTTTATCCATCTGGAATTTATTTGGGGGCTTAGTATTAGGTAGGGTAGAAAATCAATCCTATTTCTTCCAAGTGGTTAATTGATTGTGCCAGCACCATTTATGAAGTAAGCCATCCTTTCTCTCTGAATTAAAACACCAGTTTGTCATTTTTAAAATTCCATATATACTGAGATCTGAATCTGAGCTTCCTATTCTGTTTCACTCACCTATTTATCTAATCCTATACTGACATCATTCTGCTTCAGTTGCAATCATTTTATAGCATATTTCAATGTCTGATGAGGTAAGTCCTTCCTCAGTATTCTTCTGTAATTTTCTTGGCTTGTTTCCGGTACTTCTTTTTTCACATTAAATTTAAGCTCAATAATATAATTCAAAATTTTAAACTTAGCTAAAATTTTATTAAACATACATTAAATTTGGGAAAATTGACAAAAAAAGATATAATAATCATAAATCTGTATCACTAAATGAGATAGCTTTAAAATAAATGGAATATAGCCTCTTAAAAATTTTTAGGATAACTTAATAAAAATATAAATATAGTAGGCTGTTTTAATATGCCTTTTTTCTAATTTAGATAGTTCCAGTAGACAGAAAAATAAGTTTAAACAGAGGAATTGGTAAATACATCATTAAACTCAATATAACACATATTTATAGAACTTTGCATCCTATAAATAGAAAATGCTGCTTTCTTGATTGGTTCTTGAAACATTCCCCCAAATTAAAAATTTATTTGACTACAGAGGATGCTATAATGAATTCAAAAATATTAATTTACAGATTACATTCTCTGTCTATAATGCAACAGGATTAAAAACAAATAGCAAGAAAATAGCCAAAAATAATTTTACTATTTGCAAATCAAGAAATGTTCCCTTAACCCTTGGATCAAAAAGAAAATTAAATTGCAACCCCTCTAGGAAGCAATAAAAAGAAGAATACTTCCTACAAAACCTATGGGACACATCTAAAGCCTATAAGAAAAAACTTTAAACTCTCTTGAATATAGAAGGTAGGCTAGAAATAAAAGAAGTTATTATCCATCTCAAGAAATTATTCAAACTAAACCTGGAGAAAATGAGGAAAAAGAAACTGATAAAGATAAAAGCTGAAGTTACTCAGAGGTTCTTTATAAAGACCAATAAAATAAGTTCATTGTGAGTATAATTAACGGAGGGGGAAGTAAAAAAATACATATGATTAGGAATTAGAAAGGAGATATAACAGTAGATATAGACAAGATTAAATAATAAGAGAATATTTATGTTAATTAGATGACACACATTTTAAATGCTAGAAGAAATAGATGACCCCCTAGCAAATATAAATTAACAAAATTTACTCAATTGGAAGTAGAAAACTTGAGTAAACAAATGAAAAGGAAAATTTAAAGATAGTAGCAGAACAAAAACCAGATATTTCCAAAATCATGAAAAAGGATAGCTGTCTAATTTTTTTATGGAACCAGAATAATCTTGATAGCTACTTTTATGTAGAACCAAAAAAACAAAAACTAAAACCTCAATTTCACTTATTAATATAGATTCAGAAATTCTAAATAAAATATCAGTAAATAGAATCCAGCTGTATCTCAAAAGAATAATATACTTTGACCAAGTAGAATCTATTCCAAAAATGTAAGGATGGATCAATTATTTTTTAAGTATTGAAAAAAGCATCAACAAATTAAAGGATAAAAACGTGATCAATCAATAAATATTTAAAACTCAATAGCCATTCCTAATAGAAAAATTCTACGTAAAACAGGAAGAGAAGAAAATTCCTTAAATATGATAAATACTCTGAACCTACAGCCAAAAGGAAAACGAAATCATTCTAAACAATGATGCACTAGAGCCATTTCCATTAAAATGAGGAAAAAGTCAGGGAGGCCTATTATCAGCATCATTATTTAGCTTTGCTCAGGGGTTCTAGAAAATGCAGTAAGACGAATAAATGGAATTTATGGTATAAATTGGAGGAAAGAAGAAAAATGATTGTTTTGCTGATTACGCAACTTTATACCTTGAAAACTCATGTGTGATTATTGAAAAATCACTAGAATTCATAAGAAAATTTATTAAAGGTAACTTAATATAAAGTAAATATACAAAATTTGATAGCTTTTCTCTATCCTGAACTAGCAATAGCCAGCTAAAAATGAAATACAGAGGGAGAAAATCCCTTTCACAACAGCAATGAAAACTATAAAATATTTAGAAATACATTTAGTCAAAGAGATATATTTTTAAAACTGTAAAAAGGTATGAGGAACATAAAACAATATCTGAATAGATGAAAAGACATGCCTTATTATTGACTGGGAGAGTTTAATACCGTAAAAATCAATTCTACCCAAATTAATATATAAATCTCATGTAGTGGCAATTAGAACCACATTGAGTTTCTCCCAAAGTCTGCATTGGGCAACATTTGCCTGGGCTGCAATTACAAAAGATGAAAAAAGTTTAATGTAATTCCATCCCATCACAGTCATTTGCTGAAATGATTCACGGGGTCCCTTGTCATTAAAAAGCCAGTGCTATCAGGTGTTGTTGACATCACAGAAAGTTAGACTGAAGCACAGGAAGAGTGAACCTTGGGCACTTAGGGTTTAGTAAAGCAAGATACAAAGGCAGATCTGCCTTTTCTATTAGTGCCTCCTGAGCGCTGCAGCTGCGTTAAGAGAAAGAGGATTGATGGTGAATTGGAAAACAAGGTGTCAATGGTCCCTTTTAGGATTGTTCTCTTCCATCATGCGGGAGCTTGCCAATATGACCCATGATGGGCCCAAGTGGATTTTACTGGATGGCGACATAGATCCGATGTGGATTGAATCCCTGAACACTGTCATGGATGATAACAAGGTATCCAAGGGAGAGGAGGGGAGGGAGGGAAGTCCCCACGCCATCCCTGATCATCTGTGAAGCCGGATCCCCGGTGTGGCAGGCGCATTTGGAAATCGAGATTCCACAGGATGGCTGGCCCACAGTGAGGGACTATGACAGGTGTCACAACCGACACATTCCCACGAGCACCTTCCGCTTACTCCAGTGGCACTGCTGTGGGCTCACCCCATTTTTGGCCTTGTGTTTCCTTCTGAATCCTCTGCACAGAGATTCATTTAATATTTGGAGCTGGATGGAATCGTAAATCATCTATTTGAATCTTTTTTCTTTTCTATAAATAGGGAAATTGAGGATCAAAAACATTCTGAGATTGTCAAATATCTGCAATGGTGGCAAATATTTGTCCATTGAGAGTATATTTTATTTTTTTATAAACAACAAAAACTAACTGGATGCCATTAAAATGGCTGTTTAGCTGGTAGCTGCTCACAAACTTGCTCAGAAAGCACGTCCTGAACAGAAGTTTCAATACCTCATCAACATTTACAGAATCATTCAAATGAAAGTATGCTCTCCCTCTGGGAGATGGGCTACTTTAAAAAGAACAGTAATAATGTAAAACCTAAGCTCCTTTCTTTTAATAATTTTATTATTCTAATATGGTCTAGTTCATTCAGATCATTAACATCAATTCAAACTGTTTAAATAACGTTTTTTCCTCATTCAACACACACACACAGAGGTGGGGGTCAAAGGGGTACAGAAGGAGAAAGAGGAGACTATTGTAGAAAATTTAGAAAATATTTATAATCACAAGAAGAAATAAGCACCCAAATCCCAGCCAATAATGAGCCGCCAGTCCCGCCAGCCGGCAATGCATCCTGGCTCCTTTCTAGCAGGCACGTCCCTCGCTCTTGTTTCCAGGTGCTGACCCTGGCAAGCAACGAGAGGATTCCTCTAAACTCCACCATGCGGCTCCTCTTTGAGATCAGCCACCTGCGCACAGCCACTCCAGCCACTGTCTCCAGAGCAGGTATGGCCAAAGAAAAGAAAAAACACAAAGATGCTCAATTTAGACAGGTGTCTCAAGCTTTACTTTGGTTTTGCTGACTCCGAACAAAGCTCCATACAGGAGCCAGAAACCTTTCACCCGAAACTCTGGCCTCGTTCTCAGCCCTAATCCACAGCCGTGGTGACAAGCAGGCACTGTAAGGCCAGGGCCCTGTGTTTTTGTTACTTCGGCAATGTTGTGGTCGTGGGACGGGAAAAACCTCCAAGCTGGACAACTGTCCTCTGCACAGAAGTGTCTCAAATATAGGCTGCTGTTAGGCCAGTTCTAGCCTCTGTGGCCATGAAGATGACTGAGCATGGTCATTCGTCACTAATTCCTGGTGGAAAATAGCAACTTCATACTGGAACTTTCGTTTATCTCCACCAACCAAATTTGTTAGAAGATAAATGTTGGCAAAATAATCAAATTTAAAGAAGCAGAGAGTAGAATAGTAGTTGCCACGGGTTGGGGGTAGGGGAGATGTTGTCCAATAGGTACAAAGTTTCAGTTATGCAGGATAAATATGTCCTAGAGATCTGCTCTACCACATAGCACCTACAGTCAATGCTGTATGGTTCACTTAAAAAAAAAAATTTAAGAGAATAGATGTCATGTTAAGTGTTCTTACCCTTACAAAAAAAACACCCCCCCAAAAAAAAACCTTTAAGAGATGATATATATGTTTACTACGTTGATCATGGTGATGGTTTTTAATGCAATGTCCAGACATCAAATACTATGTACTTAATATGCGTAGGTTTTTAATTTAGATATTCATTAATTTATTTATATTTTTTGATTATTTATTTTTTATTTTCAATATAGATAATTTGTCAGTATACATTGTAATTGATTTTCGTGACCCTTTAATCTTTCCTCTTCCCCCCCTCCCTCTCTCCCCTTCCCCCCTACATCATATCTGTTCACTTGTCTTAACAAGTTCAAGGAATTGTTGTGATGGTTGTGTCTTCTCCCCACCACACACTCTTTATTTGTTTGTGTGTTTATTTATTTATTTTTGGTTCCCACAAATAAGTGAGAACATGTGGTATTTCTCTTACTGTGCCTGACTTGTTTTACTTAATATAATTTTCTCTAAGTCCATACACATTGTTGCGAATGGTAGTATTTCACTCATTTTTATAGCAGAGTAGAATTCCATTCTGTAGATATACCACATTTTCCTTATCCACTTATCTTGTGATGCACATTTGGGCTGGTTCCAACTCTTGGCTATTGTAAATAGTGCTGCAATAAACGTTGGAGTACAGGTATCCCTTCGGCATGATGATTTCCATTCCTCTGGGTATATTCCCAGCAGTGGATAGCTGGGTCATATGGTAGATCTATCTGTAATTGTTTGAAAAACTTCCATACCATTTTCCATAAAGGCTACACCATTTTGAGTCCCACCAACAGTGTACAAGAGTTCCTTTTTCTCCGCAACCTCATCAGCATTTATCATTTTCAGTCTTTTGGATATTAGCCATCCTGACTGGAGTGAGATGGTATCTCAAAGTGGTTTTGATTTGCATTTCCCAGATGCTTAGTGATGTTGAACATTTTTTCATGTGTCTGTGAGCCATTCGTATATCTTCCTTTGAGAAATGCCTGTTCAGCTCTTTTGCCCATTTTTTAATGGGGTTATTTGTTTCTGTGCTGTAAAGTTGTTTGAGTTCATTGTATATTCTGGATATTAATCCTTTGATATATATTTTGCAAATATTTTCTCCCACTCTGTTGGTTGTGTTTTCACTCCGTTGATTGTTTCTTTTGCTGTGCAGAAGTTTTTTAGTTTGATAGAACCCCATATGTTTATTTTTCCTTTAGTTGCCTGTGCTTTGGGGGTTATATTCATGAAACCTGTACCCACTCCTACTTCCTGCAGTGTTTCCCCTATGTTTTCTTTAAGGAGTTTTATTGTTTCAGGATGTATATTTAATTCTTTAATCCATTTTGAGTTGATTTGGGTATATGGTGAGAGGTATAGGTCTAGTTTCATTCTCCTACATATGAATATCCAGTTTTCCCAGCTCTCTTCCCCAGGGTGTAGACTTGGTGCCTTTTTCAAAGATCAGATGGCTGCAGGTGTATGGGTTGATATCTGGGTTCTTTATTCTATTCCATTGATCTGTGTGTCTGTTTTTATGCCAGTACCATGCTGTTTTGGTAATTATAGCTTTGTGGTATAGTTTAAAGTCAGGTAATCTTATGCCTCTGGCTTTATTATTTTTGCTCAGGATTGCTTTGACTATGTGATGTTTTTTGTTATTCCTTATAAATGTCTGGATAGTTTTTTCCATTTCTGAGAAAAATGTCATTGGAATTTTGATGGGGATTACATTGAATCTGTAGATCACTTTGGGTAATATGGACATTTTCACAATGTTAATTTTTCCGATCCAAGAGCATGAGATATCTTTCCATCTTCTTGTGTCCTCTTTAATTTCTCTCAACAGTGATTTGTAGTTCTCTTTGCAGAGATTTTTTTACATCCTTGATTAACTTTATTCCTAAATATTCTATTTTTTTGGTGGCCATTGTAAATGGGCTAGCTTTCTTGATTTCTTTTTCTGCATGTTCACTGTTGGAGTTTTGAAATGCTACTGATTTTTGTGTGTTGATTTTGTATCCTGGAACTTTGCTGAAATCATTTATCAGCTCTAAGAGTTTTTTGGTAGAGGCTTTAAGCTGTTCAATATATAGGATCATATAATCTGCAAAATGGACAGTTTGACTTCATTTTTCCAAATCTGGATGCCTTTTATTTCTTTCTCTTCTCTGATTGCTCTGGCTAGTACTTCCAACACTATATTGAATAGGAGTGGTGAGAGTGGGCATCCTTGTCTAGTTCCCATTCAGGATGATATTGGCAGTGGGCTTATCATATATGGCTTTGTGTTGAGATATTTTCCATCTACACCTAACATGTAAAGAGTCTTTATAATGAACAAGTGTTGAATTTTGTCAAATGCTTTTTCAGCATCTATAGAGATGATCATATGGTTTGGTTTTTGTCTTTGCTTTCATTGACGTGGTATATCTCATTTATTGATTTGCATATGTTCAGCCAACCTTGCATCCTTGGGATGAATCCCACTTGATCAAAGTGGATAATTTTGTGTATGTGTTGCTGTGTTCTGTTAGCTAGTGTTTTATTGAGGATTTTTGCATCTCTATTCATCAAGGACATTGGCCTATAGTTTTCTATTTTTGTTGTATCTTTGTCTGGTTTTGGTATCAGGGTGATGTTTGCCTCATAGAATGAGTTTGGGAGAATGGCCTCTGTTTCAGTCTTTTGGAATAGTTTGTAGAGAATTGGTATCATTTCCTTTTCAGTGGTTTGGTAGAACTCTGTAGTGAACCCATCTGGTCCTGGGCTTTTCTTTTTTGGGAGCTTTCTGATAACAGCTTCAATCTCTTTTATTGTTAATGGTCTGTTTAGATTTTCTATATCTTCTTGGCTCAGTTTTGGTAGTTTGTATGTGTCCAGAAATTTATCCATTTCCTCTAGATTTTCAAATTTGTCGGCATATAGTTGTTTATAGTAGTCTCTAATGATTCCTTGTATTTCTGAGGTATCAGTTGTAATATCACCTTTTTCATTTCTAATTTTTGTTGTTTGGGTCTTTTCTCTTCTTTTCTTAGTTAGCCATGCTAAAGATTTGTCAATTTTATTTATCTTTTCAAAAAAACAACATTTTGTGTCATCGTTTTTTGGGTTTCTATTTCATTTAGTTTGATGTGCAGGTTTTTTAATATCAATTATATCTCAATAAAGCTTCTAAAACAGATTTTAAAAATAACTATGAAATAAATATTTAAAAAGAGAACTTATTTGGTCTCTAGCATACTGTCAGATTCTCTTTCAAGGATCTGTGCTAAGGCTGATGAACTCAGGCCAGGAGAATTGTCTCCGCCATCTATATCAGTTTCCTTGGGCTGCTGCAACAAGTATAACAAATTACCACAAACATGGTGGCTTTTACAACAACAAAAATTTATTTTCTCATATTTCTGGAAGTCAAATGTCCAAAATCAAGTTCAGCCAGGCTGTGCGCCCTCCAAAGGCTGGACAGAAGATTCCTTCCATGCATCTTACAGCTAAGGCGTTCTTTAGTTTATGGCCCCATAACTACAATCACTGCCCACTTGTAAATGTCCCACCCAGGTAATCCAGGATAATCTCATCTCAAATTCCTTAGTTTAACTACATCTGCAAAGGCCACTGTTCCAAATGAGATCACGTTGATGGGTTGCAGCAGTCAGGACATGGACATATCTTTTGGGGGGGCCACCATTTGACCCCATATGTGACAAGTATTGCTAACGACTTACAGCCTCCTTTCCTCTTGAGCCTAGACTTGGCCCTTCTTCATGCTGCTCTATTCATCGATTATCAACCAATTAAATTTGGTCCTCACAAGCAAACCCATTTGCTGTCTCAGACCTAGGTCAGATTTCTGTACTTTTAAGCCCAATCTTCTGTACATTTCCTAAACAGAAAAAAAAAAAATAACTCCCTGGGGCAAAGAATATTCTTGGATAGAATATTCACTGACATGTATAGAATATTCAGTGAACATTATTCTCTGTGCTCCAGGGATCCTGTACATCAACCCGGCAGACTTGGGATGGAACCCCCCTGTCAGCAGCTGGATTGACAAGAGGGAAATGCAGATGGAAAGAGCCAACCTGACCATTCTGTTTGACAAGTATCTTCCCACCTGCTTAGACACACTCAGAACCAGGTAGGCCGAGGGATGGGAGGGGAGCAAGTGAGGGCAGAGATAAAGAGCCCATTGGCTCATACCTGATGTCCCACTGATTTTCTGTCCTGTCCCCAAAGTCAGATGTCCCCAGAGCATTCCCCTCCAGGCACAGCAGATAGCAGAGGGGACACAATTCCTCACAAGCATGTAGGCAGAGGGGAGGGAGCACTTTGGACCACAGCAGCAGCGATGTTGGGAGGGGCCCCAGACCCTCTTCTTCCATACGCCCTGTCCTCACCCTAAAAAAATCAAACCACATTCAAAGTGAATTTTGTATAACTAAAAATTGAGTTGTAGTCAAGTAGGTGACAGAGTGGTATATATTAGGTATTTAATGAAACACTTATTGATTTTGATTTTGTAGTTTTTATGTTTGGGGGTCAATAATTATTTTTCCAAACTTCAGTATTTTCATAAACCTTTGAAAATGGCTTTGAATGTGGCCTATGGAGTATATGGCCTGGGGATCTCGTGGGATAAAGCAGCCCTGGTCACTGGTCAGATCTGGAAGTGGGCAATAGGGTTTAGGGTCACCAATGTGAGAGGCTAGTGTCACCAAAGAGTTAAAGTACCAGAGAGGGGTAAGGTTTTACGAAAATAATCTATCCCTGTTCTTTATCTTTTCCTGAGACACTTGTCCAATATATCTTTTGACTAAAGGTCAGGCTGTTTCTCACTCTGGGCATTTAGAACAAGATATGCCAAACTCTTGTGCATCTGTGTGTGCGCATTACTGTGTGCATGTGTGAGTATGTGTGTGTGTGTGTCTGTGTGTGTGTGTGTGCTGGTGTATGCACATGCCTTTGAAGCCAGCTTTGAAGAATCTAACTATATGAAGTCTATCCAGTGACAACACCCTTCCTTGTGGTTATCAAGGAAAAAATAATAATAATAGCTGTCACTTATGAGTGCCTGATCTGGATATCCTTTCATTTCATGCTCACAGCACTCCTAAGAGGGCTAACCATCCCACAGATTAGGGAGCTGAGGTCCCAGGGTGCTCCCAGGGCATGACGGCATGTTAGTAATGTAGGTGCTTGCTTCAGATCCTTACTTCTATTTTATACGGACACTGTATCATAATGACAGCTTTGTGCAGCTCTGTTACTACAAAGCCATGGATGGCAACACATACCAGTTTTTTTTTTTTAATTGAACAAGCAGGCCTCATAAAGGGCAATTATAAAACAACATTGTTTTATTTCCCACCGTTCCTTCAAACCCTTTGATAGAGCTGTTTCTCCTCCTGCCCCTGGATGAGATTCTAGGTCAATAACCATGACTTTTCTGGTCACTCTTCAGTAACAAAAAGGCATCTGATCACTTCCAGTCATACACACACACACACACACACACACACACAGTTAGTCCTTTTAAAATGTAAAGGATCAAATACCATTTATAATGGAAGCTTCTGCTCTGTGCCCCGCAGCTCAGCTTAGGCCCGCAGTGGGAAGGGAAGGGTTCTTGACTTCTTACTCTACCAGCCACCCCCTTCTGACACTGTCAGGGCTGCAGTGGGACAGAGAGAAGACAGGATGGGGCAGGAGAGGTCTCACTTGGCTGGACCTGGTGTGGCCTTAGTTACCCTGACTGTGGCAGATCCTGAAATCCAACTCCTTCTCTTTGGGAGCTTTTGGGAGCTCCTTAGACCCCCCCCCCCAACTGGAGTTCTCATCTTCTGTTCCTTGAAGAAAACAAGTGCCCCTCCTTCAGCCAATCCCCATATGCCTTGCCTAACCCCTTCAGGTGCCCCCCTCAGCCAGAGCTCAAACAACCCCACGTGCACATGCCCACAACTGGATTCCAGCAAATACTCACCCGTCCTTTGCTTTGACAAACTGGATTGCAGGCTGCCCCACAAGCAACCTCTCTACACTCCACTGTGAGATCGGCAAGTCTCCTTGGGGTTTTCCAGGCATGGGTCCTTCACCAGCTCAGACTAGTCCTGTAGAAATCCCTTTCCCCAGCTGTTAGGGACAAGCACCTGCCTCCCCTCCAGGGGAAGGCACACCTAGAGCTCTCTACAAAATCCTGCATCCCAATTTCTGGCCCCTCCAGCATCTTATACTTTGATCCTCTATATCCTTGAGAGGGTGAGGGACCAGGTTGCCAAACCCCTTGCAAACCCCACCTAGGTTGTCTGGAGTCTCATTTTGGAATGTAAGGGCAGTTGGTACCTATTGCCCTGGTTCTTCATCCAACACTGAGCCTGAGATAGTGCCATTTCTTTATTTTCTTACAAATATGTGTCCAGTAAATGAAGGAAAGCCAAGCAAGGAGCAAGCACCCTCATCACTCATGGAAGTAACACCTAGACTGTTAGACCACTGCACAGTATTGTTGTAAGGATTGCAACTAGATTAAAACAAGCACACACACAAAATGCTGAAGAGAATGCATGCTGGGCAACTCGAGGCCCAGGGCTGGTAAATGACTTGCAAGGTGTCAGTTGGTGGTGTTACTCATCTTGTGACAGCAGACTCTGCCTCCCTGCAGCCCATGAGCTCGTCATCCCATGGGAGGTGGCAACATGGGTTGAATGTGTGGCTACATGGTGTACACGCATTATGACGAGAGTGCGCAAGGAGAGAGACGTGTGTGTGCATGTGTGTGTGCATGTGCGTGTGCCCACTCCTGCTCCCTTGAGCACAAGATGTCTTTTGTGCATCTCTTGATATCTTCCTTTTAGTCAATACCCCTAGAGATGAGATTAAAATTACAAACTTCAGGCCAGGGCAAAGTCATAGAAGTGTATTTTCAGATGAGGAACTCTGTACAGTTACTCATGATTGTATAAAATAACCATCTGTCCTGGTCTTCAGACAAAACTCTGGCCCAAGAAAACATGTTTTCAGTGTGTTTTCATAGGAGGAAAATCTCTGAGGTGAAGGAGTGAAAGGACAAATCTCTCAATTGCACCCATATTGCATTTTTAGGTTCTTTTTGACAATTGAAGAAATTGAGTGAAAAGTGAGGTGTTTGCTTGCTTTCTTGCCACTGCCTGCATCCCAGGGACTGGGGTGGTCATCACTGTGAAGGGAAGGGAGGAGGAGGATGGGGGGTGTCAGCGGAAAGGAGGGTGAGGAAAGGAACCTCCTCAGGAGAGCTCTGGCCCTCACTCCTTTACAAAGGACGCTGACCCAACAGGAGCAGATGAGAGTGAAGACTTATGTGGCACGTGGTCCTCCATAACCCCAGAGCACTTAACAAATCACTGAGTCCACCAAAAGCGTGTGGGTGCCACAGCTGCCCAACAGCGCCTCAAGGATGGAATAGCCGTAGTGCTTCAGAGCACGTCTGCATCTCTCTTTGCAGGTTTAAGAAGATAATTCCAGTCCCAGAGCAGAGCATGGTTCAGACACTCTGCCACCTTCTTGAGTGTCTCCTGACCACAGAGGACATACCTGCCGACTGCCCCAAGGAAACCTACGAGCTTTATTTTGTGTTTGCTGCCATCTGGGCTTTTGGGGGAGCAATGGTCCAAGATCAGGTAAGGCGACGTGCTGAGGTCAACACCAACATTGAAATCTGCATCAGCAAAAACTGATCCTTCAGGGGCCGGCCCGGTGGCGCACTGCTACAGTGCGCCGCTTGGGAGCACGGCGGCGCTCCTGCCGAGGGTTCGGATCCCACATACAGACCGGCCGCTCACTGGCTAAGCGAGGTGCGGGCGCAACACCGAGGGTTGCGATCCCGTTGCCAGTCCCGGTCCAGTACGGGCGCAACACTGAGGGTTGCGATCCGGTGCCGGTCACGAAAAAAGACAAAAAGAAAAAAAAAAAAACTGATCCTTCAACAGAGATTTGGAAGATAGGACAGCTAAATGTCAGAATTAACTTGAAAGCAGAAAACTATGTAGTTATCTACCTTTTGCTCTGATAAAGACATCAGTCCCCATAGAAGGGCCTCCCGGGGTGAGACAGATAAGGTTGTGGTGTGTTTGGAGCTTTTGGGTGAACACATCTGTGCTTTCTGGGAGAGTTGTACAGTGTTTGAGTTTAAACAACTGCTGGTATATATATACTACGTTGTCAGGCAATGTGTGCTTTATAGCCAGAAGGGTGGAAGGATGCTGTGCTATAGAAGCTTGAGTGGAAGGAATCCCTTCAGCCTTCTAAAAATCTTCCAGAACTACATGTACCACTCCATAGCCCCGAAACCCAGAGCTGTCCAGAGAAGGCTGGGCCAAATGTCAGTTGGCATCTAGGACTAGGAAACTGAATTGGTATGCATTTGTCTCACAGTGTTGGCTGCTGTAGCCTCTTGCTGTTTGGAGGTAGAGATGTTGGCTTGAAATATCTTAGCATCCTATTCTCCAACTGACTGTAGTTATCACGCAATATCATACAGAGGTTAAAAACATGGACTCCTTTCGCAAGTTTTTAAGTAAACAATGCAGTGTTGTTAATTATAGGCACTATGCTATGCAGGAGGTTTATTTATCTTGGACTTATTCATCTTGCATAACTGAAACTTTGTAGCTTTGACCAATATCTCCCATTTCCCCTTAGATCTTGGCAGCCGCAATTCTACTCTGCTTCTATGAGTATGACTATTTTAGATTTATCGTGTAAATGAGATCATGTAGTATTTGTCCTCTGTGTCTGGCTTATGTCTCTTAGTATAATGTCCTCCAGGTTCATCCTTATTGACATAATGTCAGGATTTCTTTCCTCTCTATAAAAATTTGCTGAGAGAGTAGATCTTATGTGAAGTGTTCTTATCACAAAATAATAGCGATGATAATAATAAATAAGAGGGCAGGAGGAATCTTTGCTGGTCATGGATAGGTTTATGCATAGATTGTGGTGCTGATGTCAAAGGTGTATTTTTTTTAATTGTATGTATTTGTGGGGTATAGTGTATTGTTTCAATACATGCATATATTGAACAATGATTCACTTAGGGTAGATAGCATATCCATCACATATCTCCAAGCTCATCAAGTTGTATGCATTGAATATGTACAGCTTTCTCTATATCAATTATGCTACAATAAAGTGGTTCGAAAAAATAAGCTTAGGAAAGCAAAAACAAAAAACGAAAAACAGAAAAGAAGAAGAACATGGCCTGTGGATTTTAATTGTAACTCTACTGCTATTATCTAGGGACATAGGGTGAGTAACCCAAGTGCTCTCTACCTCACACTCCCCATGTGTGCAAAAGATAATGACAGTGGTGCCCAGTTCCTAGCATGGCAGTGAGGATTAAGCAAATGTGTGCTGTTCTCATCACCCAACATGAATGCGTGCAAAGCACTTAGAACAGTGCTGGCATGCAGATGTGCTTATTATTGATATTCTCCTAACATAAATGCTCAGTTTTACAGCAAGTATCTGGTGCCTCTCTCACAATAGGGGATCAGACCAAGCTGCAGTTGCTAGAGGGTTATGATTTACTCTTTCTGGTCTGGGTTGATTGTGAGTCTCTTTCAAAGAAAGGTAAAAAAAGTTTCAGCCTCCCAAGGCAAAGCCATGTTCAAGGAATAGAAAATGGAAGTGAGCTGGGACAAAAAGCACTAATGGCGAACTTCTTTTCCATTTTCTCAGACCCTGGGTGTAACATCCATCCTCCCTCCCACCACTCCCTAATGTGTGCTTTGGTGCTCAAAATTCAGAAAGCAGCTCTCTCAGGCTCTCAGGAAGTGCCTTTGTCCATCTTCTTCCGCAGAGCCATGTGCCCTGGGGCAGAGAGGGAGCTCTCCAAGGGCTGGAGGATGTGTGGACCAGGAGTTTGACAGCTGAGCATTTTGTGTGGTCTGTTCTGCAGTCCTTGGAGCTTCTCTGTCAACTGCCTCTTTGATAGCTTTACATCTCTCCTTTAGGCAACGAGGCACAGAGTCCAGCAGGATGGATGAGACCTAACTGAAGTGCACAGAGATCCCAAATGCATAGGTTATTGCTCTCTACCAAATGCACTCTCTGACCTTTCCACTATTGAAATGTCTGTCAGTGAGCAACCACTGGGCTCTCTCCCATATTGATGCTGAGCAGACAGTGGGGTATCAGGACAAAGATACTTGGTCAATTTTTCTATCTCTTTATAGAAAAAGTTAAATCTACTCAACTCTTTAAAAGCCTAGGAAAAAGCATCCCTCCAGGCATCCTGGGCTCTGGAGCACTTGGAGAAGTGGGCAGATATGCTGGCACATGGGGCGAGGACAAGGGAGAAAGCTTTTAGCAGCAGGAATTCTCCAAGACCCCCTACACAACCTGCATTAAAGCTACACACCAAAAATAGTGCTGCAAATTGGAAAGTGGGAATTTGGCCAAAATTCCATCACCAATGGAATACCAATGGTGCTACATTTAAAAAGTTGTTATTAAAGCAAAGCAGAAATACAGAAAGGAGCCTGTACCTGAGTAGAAGGTCCAATTTAAAAAAAACAAAAACAAACCAAAAATAAAAATAAAAACTGTTCTGGTTGAATACTTTGCAATAATCACAGAAAATGATCTCTCAGAAGTGTATGGTAGAGAGAGCTCCAGAATGGGAGACTGAAAACCTGGATTCAATTCCCAATTCTGTCTTTTTTTTTTTTCCTTTTTGTCTTTTTTCGTGTCGGGCAACGGATCGCAACCCTCAGTGTCGCGCCCGTACCGGACCGGGACCGGCAACAGGATCGCAACCCTCGGTGTTGCTCCCACACCTCGCTCAGCCAGTGAGCGGGAACCGGTCTGTACATGGGATCTGAACCCTCGGCGGGAGCGCCACCGCGCTTCCCAAGTGGCGCACTGTAGCAGTGCACCACCGGGCCGGCCCCCCAATTCTGTCTTTTTATTGTTGCTTTGCGTTGCTTTGCCCCCCCACAGATTTGTCACCCCACTTCCCCTGGGTGATGGAGACACAAAGGATTACTCAAAGCCCATCTCTCCTGAGCAGCAAGAAGCCCTAAAGAGGTTAAGTTCCCTGGGAACACTCAAGCGAGAGCCAAGCCTTCCATTTGGGAAATTAATGTTGAATTGGGGTTCTCTTCCTGCATTTATTTTCCAGACCAGGAAGTTACAGGAAGAGAACAAAGGTGGTTCTCTTTCAGTGAACAAGCCAGATGACATTCCAGTAAGGCAATTAAGTGGTCTTATCAACACAAGCCTGATCTTAGGAAACATTCCTTCTTATGGCAATTTCTCAGTATCTTTACATAACAATCAGTAACTAGTGTGTCTTTGAGCCAGCAACGTGCTGTGCTGCAATTCTTATCTTGCAACAGAGACTTATAGCCTGAGGAAAATTTTCTGTTCTTGCAAGGTCAATATTTGAAACTGCAAGGCTTTGGAAAACCAGGCCCTGTGAAGTACATATGCTTTTTAGTATATTCCACATTTCATATATAAAATAGTGATAATTTTAACTAGCCAGAATAATTGAGAGCATTGTGAAGTTAAAAGAAGGTGAGATTGGGTCCCAAACTCTGCTGCAGAATGCCAGTAAAGTCTTAGTGTCACCCAGGTTAACAGGCAGGGAGAGAATCCAAAGGAGATGGGGATTTCCAAAGGGGTCTATTCATTAAGGCCCATTGCTGGAAAGATGCCCACAGTGCTGAGTTGAGAAAGGACCATTGGGGTCAGCTCAGCAGAGACTATCTTGTCCTTACAGTGTCCAATAATAGCAAAATGTGAGGTCAAGCCCCAGGTTATGGGGGTGAGATAATGTCAGCATGGCCTGGCTCATGACTTGGTTGAGAAATTGACCAGGTAGCTCAAGGTGGAATCAGAAGGGAGGAAAAGAGAAGATCCACAGCCTCATTCTTTTTAAAGGTGGTCCTCATCTCAGTGTTTCCATATAAACCTAAAATTTGGTTTTCATAGAAACTTAATTGTCTTATTCTTCATAGAAATAGAAAAAACAATCCTAACATTCATATGGAACAACAAAAGATTCTGAATAGCCAAAGCAATCCCGAGCAAAAATAAATAAATAAATAAAGCTGGAGGCATAACACTCCCTGACTTCAAATTACACCATAAAGGTATAGTAACCAAAACAGCATGGTACTGGTGTAAAAACAGACACTCAGACCAATGGAACAGAATAGAGAATCCAGATATCAACCCACAGACTTTACAGCCAACTGATCTTCAACAAATCCCTCTTCAATAAAAGGTGCTGGGAAAACTGGATATCCATATGTAGAAGAACAAAACTAGTCCTGTACCTCTCACCATTTACTAAAATCAACTCAGAACAGATTAAAGACTTAAATATAAGACCTGAAACTTTAAAACTCCTGGAATAAAACATAGGGGAAACACTTACGGGAGTAGGATGAGCAAAGACTTTAGGAATAAGACCCCCAAAGCACAGGCAACAAAAGAAAAAATAAACAAATGGGATTATATCAAACTAAAAAGCTTCTGCACAGCAAAAGAAACAATGGAGTGAAAAGACAACCTACTGAGTGGGAGAAAATATTTGGAAGCTATGCATCCAACAAAAGATGTTGGATTAATATCCAGAATATACAAGGAAATCAAACAACTTACAAGTAAAAACAAACAAACAAAACCCGATTAAAAAATGGGCAAAGGAGCTGAATAGACATTTCTCAAAGGAAGACATATAAATGTCCAACAGACACATGACAAAATGCACAACATCACTCAGCATCAGGAAAATGCAAATCAAAGCCACATTGAGATACCATCTCACCCCAGTCAGACTGGCTGTTACCAAAAAGGCAGAGAATAACAAATGCTGGCGAGGATGTGGAGAAAGGGGAACACCCTACACTGTTGGTGGGACTGTAAATTTATGCAGACATTGTGGAAAATGGTATGGAGGTTTCTCAAACAACTACAGTTAGAACTGCCATATGATCCAGCAATCTTACTGCTGTGTATATACCCAAAGGAATGGAAATCATCATGTCAAAGGGACACCTGCACTCCCATGATTGTTGCAGCTCTACTTACAATAGCTAAGATAGGGAAACAACCTAAATGTCCACCATCAGATGACTGGATAAGGAAAATGTGGTATATTTACACAACGGAATAGTACTCTGCCAAGAAAAAGAATGAAATCCTGTCATTCACAGCAACATAGATGAACTTAGAGAAAATTATATGAAGTGACTAAGCCAGGCACAGAAAGGGAAATGCCACATGTCCTCACTCATAAGTGGGAGCTAAAAATAATAAAGAAAGATACAACAATCACAATAATATGTTGAACTTTCACGAGGAGAGAACAGAACTGAGGCCACCAGAGATGGGAAATGGGGAGGGGGAGGGGAGTGAAGGAGGAATTGGTAAAGGGACTCGAAAAATGATTACATTGTGTAATGTTTAATTTGCTAATCATCCTGATTTGAGCACCACATATTGCACACAGGTATTGATATTCAATTGTGTACCACAAGGTATGTACAACCAACTATGTTTCAATTTTTAAAAAAAAGAAAGTTAAAGGTCTTCAAGATTTTATCCATGAGATTAAAATGTTGATTTTTCCTTGGCTTCTGATTAGAGAGATCAACCTTGGGAAACTACAGGGTCCCCTTAATCTGAATTCAGATCAGAAAGAGAACAGCACATACGTCTTTGTCTTAGGGTCTATTTCCATTCTCATTTTAAAGTGAAATAATTCAGTCCTACTTATTTAAGAGATGGCAAATGAGGACGCCCTGTCCTCAGAACCCAGATTGGCCACCCTGCAGCGGGCTCCCTGGTCTGTCCAGCCTTTGAACCCCATCTTTGGCCTGCCTTCTGTGCACATCCCCTGAAATGCCCAATCTTGGCCTCTTTCCTTTTTAGGATTTTTCTTAAGTCTGTGCATTCGAAGGGTGGGTTTGCTCTCCTGGGGGGCTGCCAGCAGCACCAGGTATACTTTGGGTCTGTATGTGTGTGTGAGAGAGTGTGCATGTGCTCTCGTGTGTGAGTGTGTGTGTGTGTGTGTGCACACTTTGGCTTGGACACAGTAAGAGAGTCCGAGTCCTCTGTGTGCACAGCCCTGTCCTTAGGAGACTTGTGGTCAGGTATCTGCACATGTAAAGTCTGTGTCCCTACCTGCCCCTTCTGTCAGGAAGGCCAACAAAGCTTTGTCTCCTCTGCTGCTCCTAGATTTTAGAATTTTAGCTCTTGAAGGGACCTTACAAATATTCCTTTCCAGGACTTCATTTCATAGGTAAGGAAACTGAGGCACAGAAAGAAGTGACTTGCCTGTGGTTACATACCTGGCTCCCCTTCTGAGGCTCTTCTCACTTAGCCACACTGTCCCCCCAGTGTCAACAGTCACCCTTCTAGTCCCTCCATCCCGGAAACTGCTGCAGGCCTCGGGCATCTAGAGGATGTTGTCTGGTCTCTCTCTTCAGAAAGTCTTGGGCCACACTTGCCCATATTCTGGTCCCAGGGTCCACTCTCCTCTCTCCTGCAGCCATCTTCACCTTTTGGTGGCTGTGAGACATCCCAGTGCCAGGGGGGGCTCAGCCGTGTGGTCAACCAAGGATGCCCATACGAGCTCCAGAGCAGCAGCTGTCCAGGGGAGCTCCATGCAGCTGGGCCTCATCAGGGCTGATCCTAAGGGGAGCCCTGACTTTCCAGAGGGCTGATCCATCCAGCACGCCTGCACAGGCAGGGGCACTTTGTATTCTTCCCTGACCTTCAGTCTAATGCCAGTGCTACCTGTCTGGGCTTCTGGAGCTCTGGACAACCTTGTCCCTGACCTGTCTTGTTTTTGCAGCTGGTGGACTACCGGGCAGAGTTCAGCAAATGGTGGCTGACTGAGTTCAAGACAGTCAAGTTTCCCTCCCAGGGGACCATCTTTGACTATTACATAGACCCAGAGACGAAGAAATTCGAGCCTTGGTCCAAGCTCATCCCCCAGTTTGAATTTGACCCCGAGATGCCTTTGCAGGTGAGTGTGGCTGAGCAAGGACATGCACTCCCTATGGATCTACAGCGGCTCTAGCAGCAGCCCCTTACCTGTTTCCAAGTGTCTGACCATGCTAGGAGCTGGTCAGCCCCCAGCTGCACGCCTTTTCAGAGGAAATCATAGATGTCATGAAGTCTCAGGCTCCCCTTTAGGCTAGGAAACTTAAATACCAGACCCAGCAGGCATCGTGGGGGCTAGGGGAGGAGCTGGCAGAGGCAGAAGTTTCTCACGTACATCAGAGAGGCCACAGGGAGACCGTCAAGAGCAGGAGAGGAAGGCAGGGGTGCTCTCTACCAACTGCAGGGAGCCCCAGGGTGAGTGTGTAGGACGGGCTTACTGTGGGCATGAGGGAAGCTCCACCCTGACGGGATCCCCTCTTCTGAGATGCTCGGGAACATTCTATGATGCATCTGTTGCTCCCTGGGGCCCACACCTGGCACCCACGTCATGTTCCCGTTCCAGGCCTGTCTGGTGCCCACGACCGAGACCGTCCGCATCTTCTACTTCTTGGAGCGGCTCATGGCGCGGCAGCGGCCTGTCATGCTGGTGGGCACCGCCGGTACTGGCAAGTCGGTGTTGGTGGGAGCGAAGCTGGCCAGCCTCGACCCCGAGGAACACCTAGTGAAGAACGTGCCCTTCAACTACTACACCACGTCGGCAATGCTGCAGGGTGAGGACACGGGGGTCACAGGCCGGGGTGTCTGGGTAGCCGTGTCACCTGTCACAGAGCTGGGACAGAGCGTCAGGTGCCTGCCTGGCTTGACTTTCCTCTGGCCCCAACACTGTGTGTTTCCTCCAAACCCCCCTCCTCCCCTCTGTCCTTCTTCTTCCACTCGCCTCTGTCCCACTTCTCCAGTTACAGTGCCCCATTCCCTGCCCTTTCTCCCTGGCCCATTAAATGCCTCAAGGGCAAGGTGTTCATCACAGAGCAGTGCAGCACCTTGGTGGCAAAGAGAGCTGAAAGCCATGGAGAGAGCCACATGGACTTGTAGACTTCCAGGTGTCTAGAGACCATTTCATTCCCTCCTCGTATATCATAGACAGCGAAACTGAGGCTCAGGGACAAGGATGTGATTGCCCAAGGCCACTGCCAAGTGGCACAGCTGGCATGACACATTGCTTTCCCGACTCCACATGGACCATGCTTCCCACCAGTGTCCATACACTGGGCTCCCAATGGACACGGGCCCTCTGGGGTATGGCTTCAGGGTCACTGCTCACTGCAGGTGTTCTCCCCTCGCCAGAGTCGTTCCCTCAAGTCTCACTTACAGCAGGTTCTCTTTTCTCATAGAAACACTCAACACATTAGCTAAAAACAGCTTTCTTTTGAAGAAGGGTCCAAGCCAATCTTCTGATGAAAGGAGGAGCTGGGGAGAAACCCCGTTTTTACTCCCCAAACAGCAACATTCTGGCCCCACTCTCTGTCACTTGGCCTGGGCTTTCCCGGATGACTCTATAGTGCACACTCATACCTAGAATGCAAAATCCACCAAAAGTAAAGAATTCAGTGTATGAGCTATTTGCAGACTGATAAATTATAAGCCACAGCTTATCACATGAAAAGTGAACCTTGTACTTTTTCTCTCTGAGTTCATCACCCAGGCCTCACCAGCTTGCAAAACAGCCTTGACCATTTTACCCAGTCTTCCTGCAGTCTCCACCTGGAGAAAACCCCAGAATCAAGCACTGTGGTGCTGCCTCTGCTGGCACTCAGTAGTCCCGGTTCCCTTGGGAGACACCAGCTCATATTCCCACCTTCTTTCTACACCATTTGCCGGTTCTGGGATTTGGATCCATCCAGCTGCAAGTGCTGGCGGGAAGCACCCATCTCTGTCCTCTACCTCTCGTAGCAGTGAAGAGCCTGGAGCCTGTTGAGGGTAGTTCATCCTGTCTCCCCACCACCTCCCTTAGTGACAGACACTTCTTCAGCTCTTTTTCCAAACTAGCCTTTGGGCTTCATCTGCTGCTGGGCTGGTAAATGTTTCACGACGCCAATCCCAATCCAGCAATGAATGTCATTCCAACATGAATGTTAACAAGGAAGACAAAGCGAAACGACAAAGACTTATGTCGGAACTTCACTAGTTTGTTGAAGATGTGAGCATCTTCTATTTGAATACTGAAAGAGTAGTTCTTCAATTTTTTGTTCCACAGTGTAACAGCTACAGACATGATACACTTTTTCTTTTAGTAATTTTCTCATTTTTTACATTTTTTTTATATTCTATTTTTTCCCCATCCTCTCCCCAATCTCCCTCCCCTCCCTACCAGCAACCCTAGATTTGTCCTCTCCCTCTGCAAATCTAACACACCACCATGGTATTTTCTTCCTTCTTTCTCTCTATGTTCCCACTTATGAGTGAAGACATGAGGTAATTTTCCCTCTGTGCCTGTCTTATTTCACTAACATAATTTTCTCCAAGCTCATCCATGTTGCTGAGAATGGCAGAATTTCATTATTTTTATGGCTAAGTAGTATTCCACTGTGTATATATAGCTCATTTTCCTTATCCAGTCATCCATTGGTGGACATTTACATTGGTTTTATATATTGGCTATTGTAAATAGAGCTACAATGAACATGGGATCAGTACTTTTTCCTCTGCCTGGCTTATTTCACTTAAGTAATTTTCTCTAAGCTCATCCATGTTGCTGCACTGGCAGAATTTCATTCTTTTTGGGCCGGCCCAGCGGCGCACTTGGTAGAGAGCAGTGCTTGGGAGCGCGGCGGCACTCCCGCCGAGGGTTCAGATCCCATATAGAGACCGGTCCGNAGATGCTCGGGAACATTCTATGATGCATCTGTTGCTCCCTGGGGCCCACACCTGGCACCCACATCATGTTCCCGTTCCAGGCCTGTCTGGTGCCCACGACCGAGACCGTCCGCATCTTCTACTTCTTGGAGCGGCTCATGGCGTGGCAGCGGCCTGTCATGCTGGTGGGCACCGCCGGCACTGGCAAGTCGGTGTTGGTGGGAGCGAAGCTGGCCAGCCTCGACCCCGAGGAACACCTAGTGAAGAACGTGCCCTTCAACTACTACACCACGTCGGCAATGCTGCAGGGTGAGGACACGGGGGTCACAGGCCGGGGTGTCTGGGTAGCTGTGTCACCTGTCACAGAGCTGGGACAGAGCGTCAGGTGCCTGCCTGGCTTGACTTTCCTCTGGCCCCAACACTGTGTGTTTCCTCCAAACCCCCCTCCTCCCCTCTGTCCTTCTTCTTCCACTCGCCTCTGTCCCACTTCTCCAGTTACAGTGCCCCATTCCCTGCCCTTTCTCCCTGGCCCATTAAATGCCTCAAGGGCAAGGTGTTCATCACAGAGCAGTGCAGCACCTTGGTGGCAAAGAGAGCTGAAAGCCATGGAGAGAGCCACATGGACTTGTAGACTTCCAGGTGTCTAGAGACCATTTCATTCCCTCCTCGTATATCATAGACAGCGAAACTGAGGCTCAGGGACAAGGATGTGATTGCCCAAGGCCACTGCCGAGTGGCACAGCTGGCATGACACATTGCTTTCCCGACTGGGCTCCCAATGGACACGGGCCCTCTGGGGTATGGCTTCAGGGTCACTGCTCACTGCAGGTGTTCTCCCCTCGCCAGAGTCGTTCCCTCAAGTCTCACTTACAGCAGGTTCTCTTTTCTCATAGAAACACTCAACACATTAGCTAAAAACAGCTTTCTTTTGAAGAAGGGTCCAAGCCAATCTTCTGATGAAAGGAGGAGCTGGGGAGAAACCCCGTTTTTACTCCCCAAACAGCAACATTCTGGCCCCACTCTCTGTCACTTGGCCTGGGCTTTCCCGGATGACTCTATAGTGCACACTCATACCTAGAATGCAAAATCCACCAAAAGTAAAGAATTCAGTGTATGAGCTATTTGCAGACTGATAAATTATAAGCCACAGCTTATCACATGAAAAGTGAACCTTGTACTTTTTCTCTCTGAGTTCATCACCCAGGCCTCACCGGCTTGCAAAACAGCCTTGACCATTTTACCCAGTCTTCCTGCAGTCTCCACCTGGAGAAAACCCCAGAATCAAGCACTGTGGTGCTGCCTCTGCTGGCACTCAGTAGTCCCGGTTCCCTTGGGAGACACCAGCTCATATTCCCACCTTCTTTCTACACCATTTGCCGGTTCTGGGATTTGGATCCATCCAGCTGCAAGTGCTGGCGGGAAGCACCCATCTCTGTCCTCTACCTCTCGTAGCAGTGAAGAGCCTGGAGCCTGTTGAGGGTAGTTCATCCTGTCTCCCCACCACCTCCCTTAGTGACAGACACTTCTTCAGCTCTTTTTCCAAACTAGCCCTTCTCTCGTAGCAGTGAAGAGCCTGGAGCCTGTTGAGGGTAGTTCATCCTGTCTCCCCACCACCTCCCTTAGTGACAGACACTTCTTCAGCTCTTTTTCCAAACTAGCCCTTCTCTCGTAGCAGTGAAGAGCCTGGAGCCTGTTGAGGGTAGTTCATCCTGTCTCCCCACCACCTCCCTTAGTGACAGACACTTCTTCAGCTCTTTTTCCAAACTAGCCCTTCTCTCGTAGCAGTGAAGAGCCTGGAGCCTGTTGAGGGTAGTTCATCCTGTCTCCCCACCACCTCCCTTAGTGACAGACACTTCTTCAGCTCTTTTTCCAAACTAGCCCTTCTCTCGTAGCAGTGAAGAGCCTGGAGCCTGTTGAGGGTAGTTCATCCTGTCTCCCCACCACCTCCCTTAGTGACAGACACTTCTTCAGCTCTTTTTCCAAACTAGCCCTTCTCTCGTAGCAGTGAAGAGCCTGGAGCCTGTTGAGGGTAGTTCATCCTGTCTCCCCACCACCTCCCTTAGTGACAGACACTTCTTCAGCTCTTTTTCCAAACTAGCCCTTCTCTCGTAGCAGTGAAGAGCCTGGAGCCTGTTGAGGGTAGTTCATCCTGTCTCCCCACCACCTCCCTTAGTGACAGACACTTCTTCAGCTCTTTTTCCAAACTAGCCCTTCTCTCGTAGCAGTGAAGAGCCTGGAGCCTGTTGAGGGTAGTTCATCCTGTCTCCCCACCACCTCCCTTAGTGACAGACACTTCTTCAGCTCTTTTTCCAAACTAGCCTTTGGGCTTCATCTGCTGCTGGGCTGGTAAATGTTTCACGACGCCAATCCCAATCCAGCAATGAATGTCATTCCAACATGAATGTTAACAAGGAAGACAAAGCGAAACGACAAAGACTTATGTCGGAACTTCACTAGTTTGTTGAAGATGTGAGCATCTTCTATTTGAATACTGAAAGAGTAGTTCTTCAATTTTTTGTTCCACAGTGTAACAGCTACAGACATGATACACTTTTTCTTTTAGTAATTTTCTCATTTTTTACATTTTTTTTATATTCTATTTTTTCCCCATCCTCTCCCCAATCTCCCTCCCCTCCCTACCTCCATGCCCAACAACCCTAGATATGTTCTCTCCCTCTGCAAGTCCAATGCCTCACTGTGGTCTTTCTTTCCTTCCTTCTTTCTCTCTTAGCTCCCATTTATAAGTGAAAATGTCAGTACTTTTTCCTCTGCCTGGCTTATTTCACTTAAGTAATTTTCTCTAAGCTCATCCATGTTGCTGCACTGGCAGAATTTCATTCTTTTTGGGCCGGCCCAGCGGCGCACTTGGTAGAGAGCAGTGCTTGGGAGCGCGGCGGCACTCCCGCCGAGGGTTCAG